AGTAAATGATTAGATTAGGTATTTGTGGCAAAACTGGGTGGGACTTCCATTCCTTTGCTCCCAACATGCCAAAACACATTTCTAGATAATGTTAACTGATGTATGGGAGCCTGCCTGCTCAGTGCTATGTTTCCATGTAAATTACAAAATCTCATTCCCTTAATCCCCCTACAACTTGACCTAGACAAGGAGATTTTTTAAGAGCTGTTTTCAGTGCCTTCAAAAAGGCAAAGAGGTTAATTTGAAGAGTCAGAAAGGAGCCTTAATTGATCCTAAAAACTTTCTATCAGAAATTCTTACTAAACAAAGGGAAGAAAATGAATTTCTTTCTTTTTAAAATCTCCTTACGATTTACAAGGATACATGTAATTAAACAGTATTCTAAGTGATTTTCAAACAACTTTGAATTGGCATCTTTAGCTAAAAAGGAAAGTGAGGAACGTTCTTCCTTCCTCATCTCTCCTCCATTTTCCATTTAAAAGAGGCATTTGACAAAAAAGGAATACTAACCTGACATGGGCTTTTTGGGGAATCCTAGGTATCCAAAAATGCAGTTCAAATTATTTAACATACATAATCTATTTTTGAGATGGGATAGAAGAGATTTAATGCTGAAACCATGTCTGATTCTCATAATCTTCAAACTAGCACTTTAATTCTTTTTTTGTTTGTTTTACCCTGGTTGAAATGGCCATTTTTGGTAGAAAGAAGATAGAAAACAAACAATACTTCTATTTGCTGTGCATGAAAAGACCAGTGTTTCAGAAGCCTTTAAACTACTGGTAGGCCTGTCTGAGCTTTATTGTTTATTTGGACTAGACTCAAGCTCAATATCCCATCTGATGTGTTGATTATTTAAAATAGTAAAACAAATTCTGAAATACAAATAACAACATCAAAATGAAATCAGGCATTTATAAATGAAATTGTCAAGGTATTAAGTTATGAGATTTAGAAACTTCATGGCTTGATAAAAGGAAAGAGGGTGAATTATAGAAGGCACGTTAATGAGACACCTGGATAGGTCCAGAGTATTCCACAAAATAACTCAGTAATATGGAAAAGTGTGCCAAAAGCATATTTTTTTTTCGGTTGCCAAAGTCAAAAGTTATATATGGTCTGCTTTGATTTTCACATAAAAACTGAGACTACAAGTTTAATTTGTACTGTTGTTTCTAGAAACTGAGAATCTGTCTTCCCTAAGGGTAATGAGTTTCAAACATCTTAGACAAGGGCAGTCTGTGATGAAATCTTAGCACATTTTATTTTTGCTAATTCATTTTTGAAAATGTCCTTGTCAAACCAAATAGATAATTCTCACCTAAATCATTATCTTAGCCATGTTACTCAACTATATGAGCTTTATGAGGATGTAAAATTGTTCAAAATTTCTTCCTTGGAATATTTTTCAAAGTTTAATATTAAAATGAGTATAAGAAGGTAGAAAATTTTCTAAAGAGAAAATTGTTTTTCTCAAAATTAGACATGTGGATCATATCTCTTTTCTCTTAAATATTTATGTAATTTAGTTTATTTTTAAGTGAAATATATTGAAAAATGGTGATATATTTGATTATTTAATAACCAAAGTGGAAGGAATTGTTCCTTCCATTTGGAAAGAATGGGATCTTTACACTAGAATATGAGTCAATTGCAAACTTCAAGTCACATTTTTAGGAAAAATCCTCTTAGAGAATTTATTTATTCTACCATGTGGCTTTAAGGGGTCTAATAAAAAGTTCCATAATTAAAAGTGGGTTATTTCAACTTGAGAATATAGGAAAACAGAAAATCTCTGGGCCATATCCTTTCCAGTGAATAAACAGTTTCCAATACACAGGGCTGTATAGTCATTCTAGTAAACAAATCCTTCCTTTCCCAGTATGCTCTGGGATTTGGCTAGGTAGATCTTTCTTTGCAGTCAACAAATTGGGAGGGATGGGCTCTGCATTAACTGTCAAAATTGCCTCAGGAACACTGAAGTTAGCTAATGTCTCTCTTTGTGTGTTTGGTTATTTATGGGAATTTCCCTAACATTTGCATATGAGGAATATTTATAACCACAGAGAAGCATTTGACCCATTTATATTTCTTGGAGGCATGGAAGCTATATATGATGTTTTTCTATGTTTACATACTTTACCTTTGGGGGTGTATGTAGGGATCCTTCGCCCTGATCCATACCTATGTATATTGATAGAATAAAAGGCTACATAGATGGGCACTAAAACATGAAAAATATGATCCAAAGAGGAATGAAATCAACAATCTGCTATAGCATGTAGCTGTAAGGTATAACCTGTCCTAAATATTTACAGAGCTAATATGCTATGATTTAATGAGTGTTCTCTAGGTGGAATTCATTATATTGGAGTTTTCCTATGACACATTTACTTTCAGAATGACATGTCCAGAGCATTTTAGCATAAGCCTTTCCCCATTGCTGAGAGGTAATCGTGAACATTAACTACTAAGGATAATGAATATGATGCAAGTATCCATGGAGAAACTACAGAGGTTGGAAACAGGGAAAAGAAAGATTGAGACTGCATATTCTCAAGGGACACCTGTCTGGATCTTTGGAAAAGATTAGGACCATATGATGCTAAAGGCAAGCAGGTCGAGCACCTAAAGAGTACAGCACGGATTACAGATAGACCAGGCAATTCTGGACAAGCAATTCTTCCTATAAAGACATGGGCCATAGTTTTAATTACAAAGGCATGTTGCTTTTTGAAGGTATGAAGTCACATTTTTTCCTACAAATAAATAAAAAGTAATTTATACAGTGAACACTGATTTAAATGTACCATAGATTAAATCAGAGGACCTTTGACAAAACTGAAAATTGGGACAGCCTCTGAATGCCTATTTTTGGACATCATGGCAGACAGGAAAAAAAAAAGTCACAGGAAGCTAGATACTTACCATTTCTTGGCTGGAAAACTGAAGTACACCCTCCCTTGGGAGACCCAACTCTCAGTGGTTGCTCCTTCTATAGGTAAGATATTCTCTGCTTTGAGAGATGATTAACCAGGGCCTAATTAAGCTCTAAAAATGAAATATCTAACTCTTGCAATCGTTTCCCCTTCCTATGCTAGCCTTGTTGGTGAAATGCCATCAGAACTGCCCAACACTGGAAACGTGGTGAAAGACAATGAATGTGACTAGAAGTGATAAGAACATAATGTTTAAAAAGAGCAGAAATGCAATCCATTATGAACAATATGTAGGTAGATTTGAATGAAAGTCAATGAATCCACTCATTAATAGTACCTTTCTTTCTCTGTAAGATAAATATGATTTTGTAGGTCTCTTCTACATAATGCATTCCTTTATTGATTGAAATGCTAACTTTTACCAAGAACTAGAAGGTCTTGGCCACATGAAGTGATTACTACAACAGATGACAAATGCCAGTTGCAGGTAAGGGTGACATCCAATGTTGTACATGGTCAATCGTGAAATGGCCAAATGTTCTTGAAGTTATGAAACTATACTCAAGACTTGCTCCAGATGTAACTGCCCAAGATCAGAGACAGAAAAGCAGAATCAAAAGAGAGACTCCTCATCTTGAGCCAGGAAACATTGCAAGGAGTCTTAAAGGGGCTGATTTATATTCTTGAAAAAGTGAAGCTTTATCACTGTTGGAGGACAGAGGGCTTTATTATCTACCAGAGGAAATTTGTTCTTTTTCTAATTGCTTCCACAGAGTTCTCAGATGTACTCAGAGGAAGTCAGTCAATCTCACTTCATTTTGACAGGTTAGGATCAGGGGCCCTGGACTATGGAATCAACAAAGAATCAAGCCCTCTGTGGAAAAGGCATCATGGATGGTGAGTTTTGATTAATAGTGAGACCCCTGGGGGAAAGGTGCTGCTTTAGGGAGTCTCATTGTGGATGACAGCCGTATATCAGATTATCTGCAGGGTTGTTTAAACCCTGGGCATATTGTATATTTTTTTTCTTTGAAAAGCACCAAGAAAAAACTTAAATGTGTTTATGCTGTGAACCATAGAAAGTAAAGCTCTATAAAATCTTCACTGGTGACAGACTTGAATGAGAATCTTTGAAAGAATTAAAATTAACTTATACAAGGTTGAGACTCATTGGGCCATGACATTTTGCTGAAGGGTTATTTAAAGAGTCAGGTCTACTTTGGTCACTGAATTACTCTTTTTGCTATTTATAAAAGTGAATGTTAGCTGCTCATTTTCTGTTAAACCAAAGATTGGGTCCCAGGAAACATTAATTGTTGATCTGAGAAAATATTTAAATTTTACCTTATTTCCTTCACATATGCAAGTGTTCCACAGGAGACCATATATTAATATAATGAGGAATTTAAAAAATTTTAAAGATGATCAGGTGAATAAAGTATAATTTATATGTGGACAAATTCTATATATTGTAGTGAGAATTAAATCCAGATATTAACATAGACTTGCAAGTAAGTACACAAACTAGAGGTTACATTTATTTTTCACAAATGCTTTTTTTTTTCATTTCTGGCGCTATTCTCCCTATACTGTTTTGATTATATGATACAAATAAAGTCAATAACTTATAAATTGGACAATCAGAACTTATTAATGAATCAAGAGGGATGCAGAATATGTATGATTATAAAAGAGCAATTTACTTAAGCATCCTTTGGGAAGCAACTAGTTACGCACTTTTGATGATCAATTTTATTGGGGTTGATTGATTTAATACTCCACATGTTAAAATTTGATCGGATGTGTAATTATTTATGGGCTCCTGTTCTTGGATGCAGAAAAGATGTAAAGTGGTCATAAATGATGTTAAAAAAATTAGTGAAATGGAGAAAGGTCCAACGTTTATCTCAACACTGTCAGACAGACAACATTCTGACACTGTGCTTTCTTGGGATATTAAAAGGGGAACAATGAATGACAATGGGCTGACATTTGCAAGAGTTGAATACCTCGTATATCTATTTTTTTTTCTTTTGGATGAGGATACCAATTGCACAATAATACCTTTTGGGTTTTTATTTCTTTAAAATATGAAAACAAAAAATGAAGTAGATGACAATGAGAAGAGAAAACACATGCCGTACAGAATATGCGGTATCACTAGTGATTAAGTCAGAAACAATTAGAAACTTTATTCATCTGTGTCAATGTGTACCATGGATAAGGAACAGCACAATTAGTGCAGTTCCCCCTAAGCTGTGCACAATACACACAAAATAAAATAATCAAACAAAATGAAATAATTTTACATAACAATAATTATTAATAAACCCTGAACAACCAGAATCATATTTTCCCTATAACCTAAAATTTTAAAAAGCAAACAAACCTAAAAGCTTTGAAATTGAAATTAACCAATGGCAAGAATTTCTTCAAGTCGTCTGTGACAATTTTGCTATGGGATCACTGACATTCTAAATATGGCTAAAAATGAGTACAAAATCTTTCTAATGTTTAAACAACTCACATTCCTTGACAATATTGACTTGGTGTTTCTCAGCTAGCTTTCCATTGAGTAAATATAAAAAAAAAAAAAAAGTGGGTTAGAATGTGCTCCCAAAGGAGTTAGGCCACCAGTGTGTTGGGCCATGACAGGCAAGGGATGAGTCACCAGGAGATAAGAATTGTAGATGTGTGAGGCAGGAAAAAGTACCAACCAAGATACAAGCAGGGATTAAATTGGGCCTCCTCAGTGATACGGGTCACCAACATGATTGTCTTCCTCAGTTTAAGATGAGGAGATGTACCTATCTGCAAGAAGGACAGCTAGGATGCTTTTCCTAACCTATGCTTTATACTCTCTTAGTTCCAGAAAATCTTGGGTATTTGGCTAATTGTATTTGTATATAGTTTTAATGTGTTTATACTAGGAGTTTCATAATTGTGTTTTTCCTTGCAGGCTCAAACTGTTTCCAAGTGGCTGTGTTAACTTTTACTCATGGAGATAGCAACTGCATTAACTGTGAACCCCCTGAGGATTGGGGTCTGGGGTGCCTTGTTCATGGTTTAGTTCCCAGAACGTAGCACATTACCTGGCCTGTTGAGTGGGTAACCAGTGTTGAATGATTCATTCAGTCACCAAATATTTATTAAATAGTGAATGATCATAATCACTGAGTGGAAGACGAGAAAATAACTCTCAATCGCCTTTATTTCTTAAGTATCTTTGAATCAATACAGAGGGCCAGGGGTGTCTCCAGCCTGGGATTCTTTATAGAGAAGTCTCTGAGAGGAGGCTAACGTCATTCCATTTTTTCTCATTAGAGGACTCACTACTTTGGAATGTGGGTTTATCCACACTCTTTGGTATTTTGAAATAGAAAAGATCCGTTCCTTTTCCAGGGTTAAAAATCTCCCAGTGCAATCCTCCTGGGAGGCACTAATCTCATTCAATGGCTTACTCCTTCATCATAAGTAGAGAAGACTCACTTTTAAAAACTCATTGCTCACCTAGCCAAGGAAAGAAGCCATCTTTCCTACTCAGGAACTGCAGATACAATCAGAGGGGTCTGGACAGTGAAAGAAACAGGGCTCAAAATAGCCTTTACATTAAAAAAAAAGAATAAAGAAAAAAAATAAAACGAAACAAACCAGCACTATCTACTATCTGTGCCAGACAGAGCAGATGTGAAATAAATACTTCTGGGGCAGGGGTGTTGTGAAAATGGAGTCTCTCAAAGCCCAGGCACATTTAATGCATCCATTTCTCTACATCTTTCTCCTTGGCCTGCCTGGATCAACAGGCAATTTTTTTTTAGAGGCCTCTGGTGTGTTCCACATGGCTAATTTTCCATGACGATACTTTGTAGTTTGCCTGCTGTCCTCTTGATAGCTTTAACTTCCCACATGACAGTTATTGCTTCTTAGAAATCAATGTGCAGATCCATGAACAATAAGCCATTTTCTCCTTTTATCCCTAGTCATAAACTCAATTAACAACACAAAAGTTACAACTCAGGTGAAAAGAAAACTCACTTATGTCTTCAATGTCCAATCAACATTTGCTGAATGGGAGAACAGTATATGCTCTACTCTACTATATACAGATACGCTTTGTTTTGTTTTATTTGTTTTTCATCCATGCACTGTGTAACAGGTATCACAACAACATTCCCAAACAGGCACAGGAAGAAGGAGCCAAGGTGCAATCATGACCGGAACAGGATTGTGCAAGCCATGGATGCTTTTGAAAAGAAAACCGACGGATGATCCCAGGCAACAGCAACATGGGACTGGGACACATATTGATGTACATGGAAAAGGATGATGCTTTTGGAATGGTGTCATTCTTCCTGTTTGCATGAGGAGTGGTGTGCAGGAGGAGAAGGGTGGGCATGGGGGACCTGGGGACTTAGCTGTGCTGGAACACCAGAATAAGGGCCTTACTAGTCACAGTCCAGAGCTAAAGAAGATTAAGAAAGAAAAGATTCCACGTGTTCCTGGGAATCTAGACACGTTATTCTGGTACCTGTTGAACAAGAGTGCCAGGCATCATATCTTTAAATATCAGATGGTGTCTAGAACCCTCACGTTTCCTGGCTCCGCTTGGGCTCCAGTGCTTCTTCTTGGAGGCCGCTTCACCTCTGCTCATGTTCCAGAGATAAGCATGGATTTAGCAACATAGTGAAGACAGGCTTCTTTCTTCTTCCATGCCCTTATCCTTTCTTAATCCAAAATAATTCTTAAAATGTTTGGAGGAAGGGAGAGTAATCTTAAGGACTTCAATTTTTACCAAAAACTCATTTGCATTTAGATTGGTCATCACCTCCCACAAGAGAAGCAAAAACCATGATCCTTCCAACAAAACAAAACAAAACAAAACAAAAAACAAAGCAAAACGAAACAAAAGCCAAACATCAACCACCTCCCCAAACCCCACTGAAAACTAACCCAAACAGAAAACAAAGACTTAACAATGTATCTGGAGAGAACGCAGCTCTTCTAGTCTGAGCTGCAAGGATGGCCCTGCCTCCATGCCTTGTTCAGCGTGACGATGCCCCTGGGAATGGGAGGTGATGGTTTCTCACTTCAGCCCTAGTACAGAATATGATTTCGAAGCTGGATTCCATCAGCAGGTAAGTGAACATGACAAATGTCAGTTTCCTCTGTTCATTATACATAATTTTTTATGTATATATATATGTATATATATATATAAATTTACTATATCTGATTGTTCCTTTAGAAGCCTTTTATGTGGCAGTAGGCCTCCAGGGAGGAGAAGAAAATGTACAAGAGCCACAGGAGCACAAACAGGGAGGATGTGAGGAGCTTGGCAGTCCGGGGCCCACCCAGCTCACCTCCGATTTCTGGCCTCCGCCGATACAGCAGCACCCCCACATTGATGAAAGCAAAAATGGTGAAGAGAGTGACAGAGAAAGCTAGTGTGCCAGGGGACACTTTGAACTGTTCCCCGTTGGCTGCGTGGTAGATGGCAGCAATGGACCAGGCCACACCGATTCCCAGGAAGACGTTTACCGCGTTGCTACCGGTGACGTTACCAATGGATGCGTCTGCATACTGGTCCTGGGTGGCTGCCACTTTGCTTGCAAATGTGTCTGCAGAGGAAGAACAAAAAGACAATGCCACTCAATTAGTCTTTTTAAGATGTCTTCGGAGTGCTGGAAGCTTCAGCTGTGTACTCTAGAGTCGAACCCCTGATAGAAACCCAGTGCCTACCACCGGGCTTTGATATCAGCTTGAGTCCCAGTGGTGTGATCAGAAAACAGGATCTAGGTGTCAGGGCTCGAGGGCTCAGTGTTGGCTGTATTACAGGTGATCTTGGTTAAGTTCTTGACACGCCGATACCACAGTTTTTTGTAATATTGAACTTACAGAGCAGCGTTTTTGAGAAGGATCATGGCCCATCTACATTAGAATTAGGTGGGGTCTTTGTTAAAGTGAATATTATAAGTCTCCATCCGGCTGTGCCAATTCATAACCACTGGGGCCTAGGATTCTGGCTCAACAACATACCAAAAGATGCGAGGTCACTAAAGTTTCAGGACAGCTGCTGAAGGGTATTACTAAAAAATGCTACATCATTGGCTTTAGTTTACAGGTGAGAAAGTTAAGGGGTGAGGTGATATTTCCCCAGATTCAAGAGCAAGTCAATAGTGGCAGCGAAACTAACTGAACTATAGTAATATAATAGTTGGCATTTGCCTAAAGCCTTACGAATAGGAAAGCAAACTCGCCTACATTGTAATAACTGTGAAGGGGGGAAACTTTACAGGTGAGGACACTAGGCTTAGACATGATAAGTAATGGGTGTAACATCGCACAACAAAAAAGAAACCATGTCAGGGCTTGAGCTCAGGTCTCCTGCCTTCAAGGTAAATGCTTTTTCCTAGTGCCATCTTACCTTTCACTACGCCACAGGCACCAATGACCATCCTCAAAGTTCTTTGTTCACCAATAATCCTGAACGCACCTTTTTCTGAAGATAGGCGTCATTGTCCATACAGGGAGTAGGACAAGGGTGACATATTTCTTGATGAGTAGAGCACGGGTTTAGAGCACTGATGACCCAGAGGGTTTTAAATCCTGTCTTCAGAACTGAATGTATAACCCCAGGCTGATTACTTCACTTCCCTAAGCCTCTATTTTCTTATCTGTGAAATGGGGTTAGTGACACCCACTGTAGAGTGCTGTTATGAAGTTGTAATAATATATGCAAAGCATTTATGTTTCTGGGTATAAAGCAAGAGTAGCTTTTTCTGTTGTTTTGGAAAGACAATGTGAATCAAGCTGGCTAGAACAGTTTATTAAAAGTTGAGGCAGGATCGGAAATAATAGCTCTCTTTATTAATCATGTACACAGAACTTGCAAGATAATCCATTTCTTTTTCTATACAATTGCCTAGTTACTGAGATCAAAGTCCTTTCAGTTATCTTTGCAAAATTCTTTGCACAGTAGGTTTATAGATGTTAACTGTCAAATTGAACCGATGTTTGCAAAGCCAGTCATGGCAGATATGAGACTACTACCAGGTGTTGTGTCATGCGCTCTGCTCTTGAGATCCCTGTCTGCTCCGAGCATGCATGTAGTTACGATATCTGGACTACTTCCTCCCCTTTGTGGCTATTCTGTTGCCACCATCCTCCTTCGGTAACTCTCCAATGGAGATGATGCACAGAGCATGTTGGTTTCTATCAGTCTGTAAATTCTTGTGCTTTGTAATGAGTGAGAAGGTCATGTAGGCTGCTGCATCTGCAGTATCACCTTCTTTCTGAACGGGAATTGGTTCACCTTGAGGACCTATCTCCTTGATTCTGACTTCTGTCTGTGATGGAAAGCAGGCTTCAGTTACTAGTCTATACAGAGGCAAACACTGCTTACTCTGTGCTACACGTCATTCCACCCTCTTAGCCTTATGGAGTTGATGTTGTTATTCTTTATTTACAATTTGGGAAACACCTTTGGACTGGATGTTGGCAACAGAACAAGGATTTTTAAACCAAATCTGTTTGATTTTAGAGCCCACTCTCTGTGCACACCACATGGCCCCTCCCAGGAAAGCCACAGTTTTCCTTTCCTCTGAGTCCCTTTTACCCAGGAACTCTGAAACAGGTTCTTGCACGATGCCCTTTCCTCCTCAGGGGAAGCAAAGACTGAAGATGGTGCAGGCAGTTGGCTAACCTGCCCTCCTGGGTTTGTGCTGCTTTGTGCAGTCAGATCACACATGGCAGCCCAATCAGGACTATCACAGAGGCTGGCGAGTGAAAGCCAAGCAAGACTCATCTTAATGGTCTCTCACACTTCATTGTTAAGACTTATTAGGAGCTGCCACAGCAGCCTCAAAAAAAAAAAAGAAGAAGTCATTTTGCTTTTCTTTTTCAAGGACAGGCAGCTGAGCAAGGAAAGTAAAGGAACAGAATCTAAGGCAGGAGAAAGCTGCTTACAGCTCAGCTGTTGCCGAGGACACCTGAGATGTTATTCTGTGCTGACATGACTGCCGGCACTGGCTGGTGGGGAACAGATGGCCACCGTAGGCAGGGCCATTGGGGTACGGGCAGGTGACCTGGCGCTGTTCCACAACACACACCTGCTAACCTCCCCTGGCATGTGGTGCAAGGCACACCGGACTTCCTGGGTGCCCCCTCTCCACTCAGGAACCCTGGCTTCCTGAGTGGCACTCTGTCACAGCACCAGAAAGGAATGAGGGATAAAATCAGAGATTCCCTGGGTCCGAGGACCCTGAACAACCACACCAGTCCTTAGGCCTGGAATGGAATAAAATCCTGGGACTGCTGCAGTTTCCTCTCCCTCAAGCCATTTTTCAATAGCTTATTGTGAAAATCTCTTGAAAATCTTTGTAATAATAGGTTCCTGTGTACAAATACCTTTCTCTGGAATCCCTAAAAATTAAGCCAAAGTGACTAGCTTGTCACATAAATGAAACATATTATGGGCCTCTTTGAGTCTGGTGGGTTTTATTTACCTGTCTGTTTTGTCTGTTTTCAGTTCAAAAGTTATGTAAAAAAAAAAAAAAATTGTAGCAACATGCAAATCGAAACCATTGACCTTAGTTTCAACAGAAGCGACTCTGTTTTCCAAACGAAGTGTGATGGAGTCTCCCCAAATTACCTTCTATCACTGCTTTGCTACTTAGTGCATAAAGCAACCCATCACATGCCATATGCTAGGCACCGCCAAACCCTACCCTGTATGCTAAGCCCATAACCTGCTTACGCCCGAACAAGGCAATAGTCATTCCCCAAAGTGAAGTCCAAGAAATAACTACTGCAGTTGTCTCAGAGGGGCTATAATCATATTCAGAACTTTGCCTATTAAATACAAACATGTATAAATCAGATTTCCAATGTGACTGGCACAAACTGAACACGTCAGGCACGGTTTCTAATAGGAATTTTTGTTTGTTACTTCCACCTTGAATTCTAATACTTTTCAGATTAGTCATACAGACTTAGACTTTTGGTCCTGCCTTCTTGGTACCCATGCCTGTAAATCAATAACAGGGAAGATTTGTTTGGGAGGCCATGTGGCTGGAATTAAACAACACATCACAGAGTCAGGACATAACTGTTCTCTGTACAAATTCTCTGAACTTGGGATCTGTCTCAAGTTCACTATATATAACCTTGGCCATGTCATCTGATTAATATGCAAGAATAGGTCAACCCACTCCCCTTTCCTCCAGAAATTGTTTTTTACCTGCATTTCTCAAACTTTATAGCTACATACACACTAAGCCTTAAGCCTCTCTTCTGTAAACACAATAGTTCTTACAGTCCTGCAGGTCACACACAGGGTTTATGTATTATGTAGAGCAAGGGTTTCACCCCCGATGACTTGTCTTATTCTTGACTCGTAGCATACTTTGGGGGCCAGCTGTTCAACTCTCAATTGGCTTGTGCTCAGGAACTGACACTGCCAGTGATTTTAACTGAAGTCCAGCCTGCTCATGGAGGCATGCTTGCATCCCTCTATCACCTGTGAATTACAATATAAGAGCCAGACTAGAAAGTTCAGAGCTTCATGGTGCAGAAGTGGGAGAAGGCTCATCAAGGAGATACTCTTGGCTCCTCTATCTGTATATTCTTGGGCAAGATACTCTATGGTTCTGGCCCCACATCTAAAATGAAGTATTTAGAACATCTCTAAGACTCTCCATAACTTTACCGTTTGGGTGGTGCATAGGATACAGCAAACGACTAAATTCACAGATATTGATTTTGGTGTGATTTTTCTTTTTGGTAGGAATTTGTAAAGGACTACTTTGTTTCATTAGAATTGACTAATGGTAATAAATATTTCTCCTTTTAAAGAATAAGTGACCTACATGAAATATTTGAAGATCCTAGGAAGAAAGCTCTCTAGACCTGAAGATACTGCCATTAAATTGTGGCAATATTTATGAAATTAAACCATACAGCAGAGAGCCATTTACCTTTTAAAAATAGATAAGAAGTGTTGGCAAAAGTATATACTTCAAATTACATTGACCAGCTATCCACTTATATGAGTGAAGCCATGGAAAAAACAGTGGCAGCAATGACTGTCCTGGAGAGAAGTGAGGAGCAGCTAATTTCTCTTAGACCCAGTCATGCCCTCAGGTGTAGTGGTCATTTGCTCACAAAACAACTTGGGTGGGCTTGGTGATGGGGCTGGGACTGCTTAATGCTAAAGTACTCCCACTCTCAAGTTATGCTATGCATACACACACACACACACACACACACACACAGAGGGTGCCAAAAGAATGTATACACATTTTAAGAAAGAAGAAACTGTATTGAAATTGTAATACTCATAAGATAAATACAGTCATGTTTGACTTCTGCAATTACAAGAGGTGCTCAAAAGTGGTTACTATCAGCATCCAGACACTTCTGATTATGGCGACTACTGCTTGACCAACGTTGACCAAAGTGTTAACATCTTTTAAAATGTGTACACAATTTTTGGCACCCTGGTATTTTTGTTTTTTAAGATTTTATTGGGGTATTGAGGGAGGGAACAGCTTTTTGGGGAATCGGGGAAGGGGAACAGACATGTTGCTGTCCTTTTGTTCTTCAGTCTAGTTGTGGAGGA